AACGAGAGTACAGCAGCTTCATACAAGCGTCTCGTAAGGTAGCGTGGGGTTCGTCTACAGTAGCAGACAAAGAAAAAGGATTTTCTTTTTGTAATAATATGTTTATGAATAGACCGAAAGAGTTTTAAAACAAAAAAGTGTTATTCTGTTTTTTCTTATCACTAGCTTCATTGATTTTACTTAGTTGTCTCGTATTAGTTAGATTTAAACATCAATATAAGTCATATAAACAGAATATCAACAACATACGGTAAAAACCAACTCTTCAGAGGGCACATTAATTCAAATTTTCCTTCAGAAAGTTTTTTACCTATACAGATATTTACCGTCAGACTCAATTGCTTGAAACACATTTTCAATTTCGATTGGGGAGTGTTTCGATACACGTCATTTAACAAATCGTAGGAATCATTATTTACGTGCAACCGACCAAAATTTTCGAATTGCTCTTGGGATTTAAAAGGTATTTTGCATACCGTATTAATAAAATAGGCTATAAATATTTTACAAACACGAAGAAAAACGATAACTGTTAATTTTTACACTGAAAATGTATAGTCCCTACAAATAATATATTGATGACGGTGTGGACCTTATACACACTTATGCATTTCTTTGAAGATTTAAGCAGTGCCCAGTGCAACATCATTGCACACATATTTATTTATTGGATCGAAGTTCCTTATCGGACTGTACGGGTATGGCGGATGGGAGGTAGGCGACAAAAAGTGTAAGATTTTTTCGTCACTACCCCTTGTGTCATAGTGTATTTTATTTTAAATGACGCTTCATTTTAACAGACGCTAATAATTAATTTATTTATATTTATTAATCAATAATATAATACGTTTATCAATAATAATATACTATGAAAGGAATTTCGTTCTAACCGAGTGTTCCACGACACACAATTTTTTTTTTCAAATTAACACACAATAATATGAACTTGAATACCACTTGATGAAAAGTGGCTATGGACATTTGTAGCCGACTTTAAACAAAGCAGGCTACGGATGCGTTTTCATCACCGATGAGTACAGGGCTTCCGAGCCTGTGTGTGTATACTGACTCTTAATACTCTTAAGTCCGGGACACAGCAGTGCGAGTGGTTCCTACCCTGATGAACGCATAGGCAGAAAACCTGTATCACTGTGAAATATTCCGCCTTTGTCCTTTGAGCTAACAAACTAATAGGCTTAGAAGATAGTTTCAGTATTTTTTAAAACTGCTCAATTTAAAATAAAAAATGCGTGAGTGTAGACTCGGCTGGAACGAAGTTCCTCTACGTAGTATAATATTATTATTGATAAAGGTATTATATTATTGATTAACAAATACAAATAAATGAATTACTAGCGTCTATTAAAATGAAGCATCATTTAAAATAATCTTTCTTTCATGACAAGATATAGTGCGATGGATATTATTCCATCTCGCTCACACTATAGAAAGGGAGTCGTGACGAAAAAAATGTTACACTTTTTCTCGCCTAGCCCCCATCCACCAAATTGGAATCGTGCGATAAGGAACTTCGTTCCAAAACATACGTCGTGATTATCGTGGAGCACTCGGTTGATACGTAATTCCTTTCGTAGTATATTATTATTGATAAACGTATTATATTATTACATACATACATATACATAAACACTCACGCCTGTCACCCAGAGGGGTAGGCAGAGACTACGGACTTCCATTTGGCGCGATCCTGACACACCTCTCTCGCCTCTTTTACATCCATATATCTACGCATACACGCTCGTCGGTTAAGGGTATTCCTAATCTGGCCCATTTTTAATGTATCGCCGATTTGGTCGATAAACCTTCGTCTAGGGCGTCCCTTCCCGACCCTGCCGTTCACTTCTGCAACATAAATTTGCTTTGTCACTCTTTCCTCGTTCATTCTTTCTACGTGACCAAACCACCGAAGCATTCCTTTCTTAATCCTTGTCACAACGTCATCTTGCAAACCACACTTTTCTCTTATTACACTATTTCTCACCCTGTCATTCAGATTCAGCCCTAGCATACTCCTTAAGGAACGCATTTCTACAGCATTTATTCTACTCTCATGCTTCTTCTGCCAGACCCAACTTTCACTACCATACATTAAAGTGGGTACTAACACAGCATTATGAATTGCCATACGTGCCTTAGTTGACACATTCTGACTCCTCACAATAGCGTGTAGAGCTCCATTCACTCTATTTCCTGCGTTCACTCGTCGTTCTATATCCTTATCATATCTACCATCCCTGCTAAATAAACATCCCAAATATACAAACTCATCCACTTGCTCAATCAACTCCCCTTCTATTCTTATTTCACATAAAGTTTTACTTTCTTCTCTTTCAAAAACCATCACTTTCATCTTACTTGCGTTCACTTTCATACCCCTTTCTTTCAATGACCAATTCATTAAAGTAACCATCATTTGCAACTCGGCCGCCGACGATGCAAATATGACTTGATCATCGGCGTACAAAAGGCATTTGACGGTTGACTCACCCATTCTCAACCCACATTCTTCAACTTTCAAAGTTTGCAAACAACTGTCCATAAATAGGTTAAACAGCCACGGGGAAGCCACACATCCCTGTCTGACACCTTTATGAATGCCAAACCAGTCCGAGTAGACCCCGTTGATCCTGACACAAGCACTAGAGTCCCTATAAAGAGACCTTAATGCCTGTATCAAGCCAGCGCTCAACCCAAATGAGTTCAGTGTTTGCCATAACACGTTCCTGTCCACTCTGTCATAAGCCTTTTCCAAGTCCAAGAACGCACAAAAAACTTTCTGGTTTTTAGCCAAAAACTTCTCCGCTATCATGCGCATGGAAAAGACTTGATCCGTACACCCCATCCCCTTTCTAAATCCAGCTTGCACATCCCAAATTTTTCCATCAGTTTCTTCCATAACTCTTTCAATTAACACCTTAGCATACAGTTTACCCACAATGCTAAGCAAGCTGATACCACGGTAGTTTTTACAGTCCTGCTGCGACCCCTTTCCCTTATATATTGGGACTATAACGGCTTTGCACCAGTCTTCCGGTACCCGTTTCAGTTCCCAACATAAATTAAACAAGGTGTGCAGGAGGCCTGCAACCACACCCTCACCAGCCCTTAGCATTTCGAGTGATACTCTATCATATCCGGCTGCCTTACCTGCTTTCATGCTTTTCATTGCTTTCATTATTTCATCTACACTTATCTCCCTACCTCTCTCCACTTCTTCCGGAATTTCTATTTCACTTATTTCAGACGACTCTTCTCTTTCATATTATTGATTAACAAATACAAATAAATGAATTAGTAGCGTCTATTAAAATGAAGCGAACTACTCGAAAATTGAGCAAATTTAATAGATAAAGTTATCAGTTGTTTTAACGCGTTCTAGTTTTCTAATAAGAATAATCTGTAATATTGAAATAACTGGATTTTATTAAGCTCAGGGGTTCATGCTATTAAGACATAAACAACCATTATTAAAATTTTGTCTGTCTTTCTCCGTCGGTCCCTCCTGGCTAATCTTCCAAATTACTGAACCGATTGTAATAAAACTTTACAAACAGATAGATAGCAATGCCAGTAGGGATCTACAGCTATATATATTTTCTCTGAAAGTCTTGAAGATTTTTTAGAAAAAAAAACGAAAAGTTTTTAAAATAAAATGGGCATTGATTATTTTAATATAACAGATCCTATCCTGGTGAAACATGGTCAAGTCGCTAGTAATTAATAATTAGAGTATACTTAGTATTTGCTTATATTATATTATATTATAAAAACTCCTTTTACTGTTTGTAACATTTACAGTTATTTCATACCTATGTATGTAAATTGAAATTAATCCAATGTTCACTAACATTGGTGAATTTTTATTTTCAAGTTTATATGATAATTAAGTTTCTAGTTTTAGTTTTTTTTTTTATTATTATTATTATAGTGTTTAATAAAATTTGTACTATCGGATTTGTAATATCATTAAAAATAAAATAAATATAATTTCTGTGAATATTTGTTTTGAAAGTTTCGGATAGTTACAAAACTAAATAACGCAATAGCTTTTTGTATTTCATACCAGAGTGAAAAGGAGTGTCCGCTTATGTGTATGCGTTGCGAGACGCTTGTCAAAAGCTTCCGCACTCTTTCCTTGGCATTTCATCTTAGTCCTCAAGGATAATAACGCATCTGCATTTTGATTGTTCGGATAGATGCAAATGTCTATGCACAGTCAGGACCCACTTACCATCAGGTGCACTGTGTGCATGTTTTCATCCTTATTCTATAAAAAAAATATAGAATAAGGATATAAATAGGATAGGAACTCTGCATAAGTCAAGCTTTCTAGATCAATGCAATGCAGTTGAAAAAATTTTCTGCAATTATCGCGGCTAGAGTTCCTCACATTGGATATTGCTTTCAAAAGCTGCTTTTCTTTTAATTTAGGCTATTCATGGTAGGGCTATTAAGTTGTACCAATTTCACTTCAAGAATATTATACGAAATAATTATATCGCCATATATAACTAGACGTGGTAGCTCAGATGGTTAGCGCTCGCTGTAAGTTTCACAGTACTCGAGCAACCCGGGTTCGATCCCCGCCGGCACCAATGAAATTGTTTATTGCAATTTTAAGTGCTGATTTACCACGTGCTCGGCGGTGAAGGAAAACATCGTGAGGAAACCTGCATGTCTGATAATAAGAAAAAAATTCGAAGACATGTGAAGTTCACCAACAAGCATTGGGGCAGCGCGGCGGACATTTCCTTGCCCTAAAACCCTCTCAGCAATGAGAGGAGGCCTGTGCCCAGCAGTGGGACGTAAATAGGCTGCAACTTTACTTTACTTTATATAACTTGACAGCTTTTTTTGACAATTCCCATCGCCAGTTTTTACCGCACCCACGTGACACGATGCCAGTCTACAATTATGCTATAACCCCACCACACATGTGACATATGGAAATAATAAATATTTTTTTTTTTCATTTACAGAGCCAGGCTATGAGGATTGTGCGCACAGTAGGTCAAGCTTTCGAGGTGTGCCACAAGATGCAGACCAATACTCCAGAACAACCAGCGCCGTCAACTTCGTCCGCCGTTGATGACCCTACTCCCGCTGACCGCCTGAGTGAAGTGAAGGCTGCCAAAGGTTTGATGAGATGACTTCACCACAGTAACTTACTACCCCACTCTTTATGTTAAACTAAACTGAAACTTTCTATTATATCAAGTAACTCTCTGCGAATATTACGTTTTGTACACCGTTATTCTTACAGAGGCGCGTACGAATTTAATTTGATTGTGCTAAGTGAATTAATTGTTTTGTCATTATTTTCTGCTATGTGTGTAAGCGTCTATTGCTTTGCGACAGCTCCTGACCTATTTGTACTCGAATGTGTGTCGCGAATTGTTATAACGATGTGCATATGTGTGCAGTATGCGAATCTGCTGGCGTTAATATGCTGCGTTCACAATTTTCGTGTATGGAATATCCATGATATCTGTAAAATGACTAAATGTAAATTAATATTATTTTAGCTTAGGTAGGGAGATTCATATTTTTTAAAGTAGAAGAGCTAAGATAAAAAGGCTCGCCACAAACGGCGTGCAGTGTAGCTGTGCGTTTTGTCTCCTATACAACGCGAGCATTTATTATGCACGCCTAGCCCTCTGCTCACTGCACGCTCGTACTTATTGTAGAATCTCAGTAAAGAACTTGCAGATGATACAAAGCGTTCTGCATGCATGAGTACTCTCCACTGAGTCATTAGATAGCACTAGATTAGAATACAAAAGCGTATACTTGTCGTGCACGCTGCACGCTCCTGATCCCCCTTTCCCCCTCACCACTTAATTTTTACACTAAAGCTTAGGCTATTGGTATCAGTTAAATCGGGAAACCAAAAAAAATTGTTTGTGATATTAAAAATAATTATTAATTTAAAACTAAAATGCGAGTTCTGTGATGTTTGAAGTTCAAATGATATTTTCGAAAAAATCTTTTTTTTATAAAAGAATGAAATCTTCGAAACCCCTTACAAGTTGCCAGTCCTTTAAGTTGCTTTATAGTAGCGCACGTTAGTGGTGGGACAGATTACGTTATACGCCCGTTTTACAAGAGTCAGAGTGCAGTTTTAACGATCTGTGTCGATCGCCAAAATTAAGCCATAATGTTGTATGGTTTTAGAGCCATTTTAGAACACCAACGGGCGGGTGATACCGAGCGTGAAGTAGTAAATCTAAAAGTGATTTGTGCCAACTATATGAGACAAATTATGAAAATATGGACACCTTTCGTACTGGTTACGGATGATAAATGACCATGTAAGAAAATGTAAATTATCCGACAGCAGTTAATGTCTGTAAAAATAACGTAGTGGCTGTAGACAGTTTTCAGAAGCTGTGATTCTTGTAGACATCAGTAAAATCAACTTAAATTATTTATTATTACGATTTAAAGGTAGTAAACAATTATTATCTGTCTCTTCCAAAAATGCAATAAAAGTGATTAATAAATAACAAATCATTTGTGACAGAGGTTGTGCTAAAATTTATAAAATTAAAAATTAAAAAGTAGTAGCAAAATAATGAAACGTGTCAAAACCAGTCAAAACTATAAACTGTGAAAAAAAGAAATTGTCCTATTTAATAATTTTGAACGATATATCAATAAACGAAAACTTTTGTTACGTGAAACGTATGACGTCATTTTTTGTCATAACTCTTAGAGTTATAGATAAATTCTTTATATTAAAAAAGGAACGTCTATGAATATTACCGAATACTGACCAAATCGATTCTTGTAAGCCTCTCTTCGTTAAACATAGAATACTAAATCTTCCATCTTCTTACATTTACATCCTCGGGTCATTTAAATTTGTCCTAAAACACCCACAACTCTACTCACCTTTAACAAAAATTAAAAGATACAATGGACATTTACATAACCTTAGAATACCCCTTTCCAAATTTAAATTAGTTTCATCTAGCCCCCACGCTACTACATAGGCTGCACTAAAAGTATCGGGAATGGAATATTTCCACTGTTCCTGTCATATTAAAATCTTTTTAATTGAAAAGTCCTTGGTTTTAAAAATCGAATACCATTTATTTATTTAAAAAAAGATTCTCGGTCTTGTCACAAGGTTTTGTCAAACTTGTTTAGTCGTTGAGAAAATGAAATTGACTCGAGAAAATTCAAGAGCGATGATTTATTATGACTTTCGAAGTGGTTTAACACAAAAACAGTGTGTTGACCGGATGATTTCTGCATTTGGTGATGAAGCCCCATCCAAAACCACAATTTATCGCTGGTTTGCTGAATTTCAACGTGGACGTGTCAAGCTCAGTGATGATCCCCGTCAAGGTCGTCCAAAAACTGCAGTCACCCAAGAAAACGTTGATGCTGTGCGTAAGCTGATTGAGGAAGATCGACATGTGACATACCGCGAAATTTAGGCAACTTTAGACATTGGCATGAGTCAAACACAAATAATCTTGCATGAACAATTAGGTATAAAAAAGTTGTTTTCCCGATGGATACCGCATTCGCTCTGTGAAGAGCAAAAAGCGGCTCGCGTTACTTGGTGCGTCAAAACCCTCGAAAGAATCCACGCAGGATCCTCAAATGCTGTATACAACATCGTATCAGGTGACGAATCCTGGATATACGCGTACGAACCCGAAACAAAAAACCAGTCACGAGTTTGGGTGTTCGAAAATGAGTTAAAGCCAACAAAGATTGTTCGTTCACGGAATGTTGCAAAAAAAATGGTGGCCACGTTTATCTCCAAAACCGGCCATGTTACGACGATGGTATGCTAGCATTTGTTTGCCACAGGTCGTTTCTGAACTCCGTAAAGAGAACTGCAACCGCCGCATCATCCTCCATCACGACAATGCGAGTTTTCACACCGCACACAGAACAACAGAGTTTTTAGAGCAAGAAAACAAGGAATTATTAGACCATCCGCCGTACAGCCCCGACCTAAGCCCTAATGATTTCTATACTTTCCCTAAAATAAAGAATAAATTGCGTGGACAGAGATTTTCATCACCTGAAGAAGCTGTGGACGCCTACAAAACGGCCATTTTGGAGACCCCAACTTCCGAATGGAGTGGTTGCTTCAATGATTGGTTCCATCGTATGGAAAAATGTGTCAAATTTCGCGGAGAATACTTCGAAAAGCAATAAATTCATTTTTAAATAGAAATGTTATGTAACTTCCTTGATTCCCGAAATTTTCAGTATGTCAACAAATATTTATAACCGTCTAGCAAATTATTTAAATATCCTCGAAAACCCTGCGCAATTTATTAAACAAAACACAAAATTGTAAAAAATAAAATTTAAAAAAATTAACAAGCTTAAATGGTAGTTTAGAATTTCATACAAAACCTATTTAGTATCTGTAAACTTTTGCTGCTGCTTAAGCTGCATTTTACGATATTTGCGAACAAAAGCACATTTGGGTCGGCTCCGTACACCTGGGACAATGTTTATAATAACGCCTCATCTTAACTGCTATTATCTCACCGCGTCCAATGTGGGAGGCTTATAATTAGCGTTTATGTATCTTTTTATGACAACCAACGCACTGAGCAACAGCTGGTTACGTGGGCTGCGTCATCATTTTATTGCCTGTATCACGATTTGGTCGCCGTAACGCCAATTTAGACTCAGGTAAAAAATTGTCCAATTTTCTTTCCTTAAAATAAAAGCGTCTGAAATTATACATGCGCTTGGAACATACTTTGTTCGTTTTCGTTTCAGTAATTACACACAATACACTGCCTAGGATGTTTCAAGTTTATTAGCATAACTTTAAAAGTACTAGCCTACTGATGATAAAATAAATCAAATTGACATTTAAAGCTTTTTTATATAGCCAATACTTTTTAGGTATAGCATAGTATAGTATAAGCACTCACGCCTGTCATCCAGAGGGATAGGCAGAGACTACGGACTTCCATTTGGCACAATCCTCACACACCTCTCTCGCCTCCTCCACATTCATATACCTACGCATACATGCTCGTCGGTTAAGGGTACTCTTAATTTGGCCCATTTTTAATATACAGCCAATTTAGACGATGCACTTTCGCCTTGGGCGGCCCTCTCAACCTTGCCGTTCACTTCGGCAACATAAATTTGCTTTGTCACTCTTTCATTCTTTCTACATGATCAAACCACCGTAGCATTCCTTTCTTAATCCTGGTCACAACAACATCTTGCAAACCACACTTTTCTCTTATCACACAATTTCTCACCCTGACATTCAGATTCAGCCCTTGCATACTTCTTAATGACCGCATTTCTAAAGCATTTATTCTACTCTCGTGATTTTTCTGCCACACCCAACTTTCACTACCATACATTAAAGTAGGGACTAACACCGCACTGTGAATTACCATAGGTGCCTTTTTGGACACATTCTGTCTTCAACAATGAGATGAATCTCTTGTTTACTCTTTTCCTGCGTTCACTCGTCGTTCTATATTCTGCTAAATACATATCTCAAATACACAAAGTCATCTACATGCTCGACCAACTCCCCTTCTATTCTTATTTCACATTTTACTTTATTTTACACGTTTTACTTTCTTCTCTTTCAAAAACCATTTCTTTCATCTTACTTGTGTTCACTTTCATTCTCCCTCTTTTAATGCCTGTTCATTAATGTAACCATCATTTGCAACTTGGCCGCCAACGATGCAAATATGACGCATTCTTAACCCGCAATCTTCAAATTTCAAATTTTCTAAGCAACTGTCCGTAAATTCGTTGAACAACCAGGAAGCCACATAGCCCTGTCTGGCACCTTTATCGATGCCAAACCAGTCCGAGTGGGCCCCGTTGATCCTGGCACAAGCACTAGAGTAGCCTGTATCAACCCAGCGCTCAACCCAAATGAGTTCAGTGTTTGCCATAACACATCCCTATCCACTCTGCCATAAGTGTTTTTCAAGTCCATGAACGCATGTAAAGCGCTTGATCTGTACATACCATACGCTTTCTAAATCCCGCTTGCACATCCTAAATGTTTCCATCAGTTTCTTTTATAACTCTTTCAATTAGTACCTTAGCATACCGTTTTCCCATAATGCTAAGAAGGATGATACCACTGCTTCGACCCTTTTCCTTTATATATTGGGACTATCACGGTTTTGCACTACTCTCCCGCTACCCGCTTCTGTTTCCAACATAAATTAAACAAAGTGCTACGACTCTCTCTTCAGCCCTTAGAATTTCGAGTTCTAGTTCTCGTTTAGCACCACCCGCGGGACACGTATAGAGTGGGCCCAGGAGTAGGTGGTCGAAGCCTACGGACGCGACCGACTCATCCCCCTTTACTATTATTTACTTTTAAGGTTATAATAATTAAAGTGAAATTTTTCCATTCAAATGTAATTAATGCAGAATACTTATGTAGAAATCCTGCGGATGGTAATAAAAACATTAATAACAAAATCCTACGGACAGTATTGATGAATTCTCTAAAGGGGATTTTTACCGACTTATCGAAATTGTTCCTGTAAGAAGATGTCCAAATTAGGCACAAAAAATGTAAATCAGCAGGAGTAACTTTTGACGAGTACAGGAGATGTCCAAGATTTTCCAGTCAAAGCACCTCAAGTTTTTGGACAGTGCATTGTGTCGATTGTCGGTTCTTGGTGAGAGAAGGTTTTCCGATTTATCCAGATAAAACCGATTTAGATTTATCTAGTTACCATGCCGTTTCAACAAATGTAGACAATATCGACGTGAATTCTTGGTTGCCTTTCAATAAAACTATAATACGGTAACCAGTTTCCTGGCTCCTCTATTTTCTTGATTTGACCCAAATGAAATAGTACCGTATCATCACTTACGTTGAAGCTTACTACTAGCTTTAATGTGATTTTTTTTAACCTTCGTGTTTGACGGGCCTTGTTGTTAAGTCTGGATTTCTAAAAGGAAAGAAACTAAATCAAAACACAAATTTTGAAGTCCCTTTTCATACACGTAATGAATATCGCATGCGACGGTTACTGCTTTCGTGCCGCAAAAAAAAAATTTAAAATTGGAAAATAACGCGAATTTTATAAATAACCGCAGATACAACAATATTACATACAACGAAACGGTAATAAAACAAATAAGCGATTGATTTTTAGAAGCAACTTCATCACTTTATATATTAGGCCATATTATACTTGAATTTATAATTCCAAATCGAATGCAAGATATCAAACTGAAAACTAGCCAGTGTTCAATAAACTAAGATTTTATAGATATGCACCTAGTATACATTTTTGATTTAACGATTTTTTGAAGTGATACCTTAAATAACTACCGCGAACGACAGCCGATGCATCAGAACGAATCTGCTAGGAAATATAAGAGGAATACGTGGTAGAGTCACACTGCATATTATGGCTGCAACCCGAATTCGTCGGCTCAACCGGGAAAGGACCACGCTCTCACAGAATACCAGCGTAAATTAGTAGCTTAATGGTGCCGTGTTACTTATTGTGGGTGTAGAGAACCGGAGACCCCTTTTACTGGAAACGAGATCATCAAAGGTGACAACGTATCTACAGTTTGATTCTCAGTTGAGCATAATGGTACATGTCTATGGGCCACAGCATCCACTTACCATCAGATGGTCTGTATGCTCATTATTCACCCTAATTCTATAAAAAATAGGAGAAATTTACTAATTATCGACGCTCGCACATAAATAATGAAATAACGACGTTGCGGCCGCTCGCCTCGCAATTACTACGTCTCGTGTACGTGTTGGGTATATAATATTGTGATTACAAAAATGTATACAGTAACATCGCAGTATTTTGAACAGTGTCCGTATATTAAACGCGTGAAGTATTTAAAATTTATTTATTTGCTTTGAGATTTATTTGCTGATGTTAACTGCAGATGTATGGCAACGTGTTTGTATAAGTATATTATGTATACCAGCAAAATACGATTTATGTTTTACATCTGATGAATAAGAACATATCTTAAAGTTCGTTTAATGTGATAACAATGAATTCGGTGACCACAGGGGATTATGGTTTTAAAAATAGTATTTACGGCTTCAAATACAGAGATACATACAAATACCACGAAGCCAAGTGGTTTTATTTCCCATGTGGGTTAACATTATAAGGCCAATTTGACTCATAACATCTAACTTTAATTTGTATTAATACCCAATTAAGAAATTAAAAAAATTATACACGTCTATACAAATAAATAAAATTGAAGTGTCTATTTGTAATGTCAAAATAACAGCGTTTTACTAAATGCATATGAAAGTATATACGGTACTTATAACAAAAACAATTTTTAAAATTTGTGTCTGTCTGTCTGTCTGTTTGTTCCGGCTAATCTCCGAAACGGCTGGACCGATTTCGACGGGATTTTCACTGGCAGATAGCTGAAGTTATAAAGCGTTCCGTTCCGCGCAACATAATTAAAACCCTAAATTACACGTGGGCGAAGTCGCGGGGAACAGCTAGTTTGAACATAAGAACCTACTTTTTTACAATTGAATTAATCAAAAATCAAATATTTATCAAAACTTTATTAATACAAAATCAGTATTACCAAAAAACTGTCCGCCGTTTTATCCCTCCGTACATTATTTTATTTTTGTATTTTCTTTAATCAGTCAAATACATAAAGTGGAAACATGGTTATTCCATATTATTTAGCAATAGTAGTATTATTAAGGACCATTATTTTTAAATTTCAATGTTATTGTATGTAGCTTCTGCAGCTAATGGACAACTGCTACCAACTTCAAAGTAATAAGGCCACAGATGAGTTGTCACTTTACAAAGATGAAAGGAAGCCCTACCATTCAATAAATGATATTTAATGCTTATGGTTTATCGAGATCTAATAGAACTTAATTTAAAAACTTTATAAACAGTTTGTGCAATTCTATTCTATGTTACCAGAACCTGCTTCCGAGTGTGGTGGTTCGGAGTCGGGTGCAGCATCGACTACCAAAGTAGTGATAGAGGAGGCACCTCATGCCGTGTCGAAAGAACCAGTGCGCCCAAACCATCTAGATCTACTCCCACCACCGCCTAGGAAGGAAGGAAAACGCGCTCTGCAGGTAATATTGAAATACTTGCTACTATTGTGTTAAACTACTATGTTAAAGTTAACTAAAGTGCCGTGTAATAATTTTGTATTAGGTGTGGTATATCATCACCCGAAAGTCTTCCTATCTTGTCGTAATGGATTTCTTACTGACCAAAGCTTGGTAAATAAGCAGGGGCTTGAGGTGAAAGGTGGCCAAAGATAGCTGCTCCGTGCTCTAAAAGAGCTAGTACTTCGGGAGCGAAACACGCTGATATGGAGCAAAGCCATGGCTGAGATCAGAAAGGCTCCCTAGTGCTTCTTTTTCTGTTCCCCATAACCTCGGCGACGCGTTTTGTGTTCGGCAGCCACCAGTGGGTGATCAGCGTTGAATATTATTACAGAAAAAATAGGCGTTACATTTACGAGGTAGAACAACGCTGTAGCTGTAACATGGTTGTAGCACGAATTGGTCGGCTCGAACGGGGAAGGACCACGTTCTCACAGAAAAACCAGCGTGAAATAGCATCACAATGCTGCTGTGTTTCGTATGGTGGGTGTAGAGAATTGGAGACGCTTTTTGCGGGAAACGAGGCATTCCGTCTTAGTCCTAAGGGATGACAACGCATCTGCATTTTAATTCTTAATCGAGGATAGATGTAGATGTTTATGGGCGACAGCGTGAACTTAACATCAGATGGACTCTGTGCTCGTTTTTCACCCTTATTCCAAAAAAAGGCCACAAAAGATAGATGAAACCACACAAAAATTATAATGTTTACCTAAATATGGGCTCGTCTCTGCCGATCTAGTTCTCTGGGAAACAATCGTTTAAATGTTTATTATTAACAGTGGTAGAGCCACGCGGCAGCTTTTGCTGTCGTACGGATGGGCCGGCTCGAACCGGGGTGGTACCACATCACAGAAAACCAGCGTGAAGTAGAGGTTTACCTCTGCGTTTCGCTTGGTGAGTGCAGGTGGCCGGAGGCCCTTTTTACTGGAAATGAGGCATTCCATCTTAGTCCTCACGGGTGACAACGCAACTACATTTTGATTTGTAATAGAGGATAGATGTAGATGTCTATGGGCCGCAGCAACCATTTACTATCAGGTGGACTGTGTGCTCGTTTGTCACTCTTATCCTATAAAAAAAAATGTTCTTGCACGTTTAGAGTTCAATGCGCTGGATAACCATCTTGCTGTAAGATCATTGGTTTTCTCTTTGCCAATATTGGTATTTCGGTCTCGTCCAGAAGCTCTGGGAGATCGTTTATGAGAAATTCCAGGTAATAGTCTCCATTTAAATTATCTGTTAGGAAGTGGGGACCAATCAACGTTCGGCCAATTACTTCTGCCCACACGTTTGTTGAAAATTTCCTTTGAAACGATAGTTACTTTTTCCAGTGTAGTTTGCTGTCTCTGCCAGCCCATCGATGATCGTTATGAAAGTTGATAATTCCGTCTTTCGAAAACTTTGACGCATCGGTCCACAAGATGGATTTAAAAAAACATTAATTTAGCAAATAGCGACAGAACTGAATTTTTCGTGGTGATCTTCATTTTCCAAACCTTGTACACCGTGCCGTGATAAGGATACTGCCTTTATCGGTGCATCGTGTTCCACATCTTTCATACCGAAATGTTAAAGTTTTAAGCTACTGCTTTAACACTTGTAGTATGATCTGCATCGAAAGCTGCAATAATGTCTTCCTCTACACTTGGGCCATGTCTTCTATGTATTCTAACGAAAACAATAGTGCATTAACGAAAAGGCTGCATTATTTTGCACCGTATAAAAATAAAAATATTCGTCCACAATTTTGCTTTCTACACCCTAATTCCAAGAGTTGATAAGACATCCGCGTAAATAATACCTCAAATGAAAGGGCAATAACTAAGCATGTTTTTTAAAAAAAAGTTAACAACAAAGGCTATTTTTCATGATGGAAAAAACACAACATTTTCTTAATTTTTCTTTTTTTGGTTTCTTAAACTTATTTATGCGTCGAATGTTTTTCTGATAATAAAGATGTTTGGAAATTATTTTGTTTGAGTAATCTCACAAAAAAATAATTACATAAGTATTACTGGACACTATTAACAATTAATTGGAAAAAAATAGTTTATATTCATATGTTTTCCCAATCACAGCTGGTTTCGGAGCAGTCTTGTTCCAATGAATCCTCAAGCACCCATTTATATGGGTTACCTTTAATATATAAAGAACATGTTCCTATTCGTCCAGTTGTCTCATAAACCACCAACTTATTTCCTTGATTAAAAGTTAAACTTCCTCCTTAGAGAGAAATCTGGATTCAACCCCACTTACAGCCTAAAAAATAGTTTAGATCTCATTTTCAAAGTTAAAGATATTCTCGTATTCCTCCTAAATCCATATTGTTATTTTTAGACGTTGATAGTCTTTTTACAAATGACCCATCCCCTGAGTGCTTGCGTATACTCGCAGAACTCTTAGATAAACGTCGTCTACATCCCGGGGAAACAAATGATCTTCTTAACTTTACCTCTCTCTGTATGAAACAAAATTATTTCCGGTTTAATAAACGTTTCTATCTACTAAAAGAAGGGTTAATTATGGGGTTCTCTTGGAGTCCCATTATGGCGAATATTTTCATGGATAATTTCGAAAAACAACATATGGTTGTCAATCATAATATCTTATATTACTATCGGTATGTAGACGACATAATTATTTGCTGGACTGGCACAAGGAGACAACTGGATGTTTTCCTTAATAAAATAAATAGAGTCCACGACAAAATTAAATTTAAACTTGAATTAGAACAAGATTATTCCCTTAATTTCCTTAAGATGTGACGACTCTTTTCTTGTTATTTTAGCATGTGGTATTTTCTTTTCTTCTGTCTTTTGTTGTCTCTTGTTTGGGAGCTAACGAGTTGAAATCTATCGTCAATTACATGGTGACGTTTTCATGGTCCTGGCCAATTTCACATTCCGATAGTTTCACTAGAATATATTAACTATGGAGCTGTTAGAAGAGACTCCTAAATTACGCGACTCTGAGAGTCAATCCCTATCGTCACTTGCCCGGGCTGGTGTACCGCTTATGCGACAATAGCGATTTTTTTTTTTTATAGAATAGGGGGCAAACGAGCATGCGGCTCACCTGATGTTAAGTGACTACCGCCGCCCATGAACAACCGCAACACCAGGGGAATTGCAGATGCGTTGCCGGCCTTTTAGAAAGGTGTAAGCTCTTTTCTTGAAGGTTCCTAAGTCGTATCGGTTCGGAAAATTCGCTGGTGGTAATTGATTCCACAAAGAAGTTGTGCGAGGGAGAAAACTTCTTCTAAATCGCACAGTGGTGGACCGCCAATCATCCAGATGGTATGGATGGTAACGCGAGTTTTGTCGCGACGTGCGATGGTGAAATTGAGCGGCTGGAATTAGTCCGAACAATTCCTCAGAGCACTCCCCGTGATAGATGCGATAAAATACGCAAAGAGATGCAACATCTCTACGCAGTGCCAGTGTATCGAGCCGATCGGAAAGAACTCGGTCGTCGACGATTCGAATCGCTCTGCGCTGGATGCGGTCAAGTGGAAGGAGCTGGCACTGGGGTGCCCCGGCCCAGAGATGAGAACAGTATTCCATGTGGGGCCGAACTTGCGCTTTGTAAAGTTGCAAGCGATGTGCCGGCATGAAATACTGTCTCGCTCTGCTGAGCACGCCAAGCTTTTTAGAGGCCAATTTGGCCTTCCCTTCCAAGTGACCACGAAACTGCACGCTATTCGATATGTCGACGCCAAGGATTCCGATACTGGCTGAGGCAGCAAGGGAGTGCCTTGAAACTGAGGAGATACGACAAAGGGGTTCTTTTTAGCGGTAAACGCGCAAACTTGTGTCTTCTGGGGATTGAACTGGACTAGATTTAGTCGGCCCCAATCCGAGACTTTGTTAAGCAAAGACTCGACTTCAGACACAAGTTTGTCCCGGTACTCGGCGACGTTTTCCCGAGAAATATTGGCACGGCCGGTATATAAGGCATCCCCAGTGCTGTCGTCTGCATAGCAATGAATGCTACCAGTTAGCAACATATCATTGATATGCAGGAGAAACAGCGTTGGTGATAGCACGCAGCCTTGTGGAACACCAGCGTTGATAGGCTTGTAATCAGAGCATGCACCGTCTACTACGACCTTGATGCTCCGATCAGCAAGGAAACTGGTGATCCATTTGCACAATTTCTCGGGAAGCCCATAGGAAGGAAGCTTCGAAAGAAGCGCCTTGTGCCAGACCCGATCGAAGGCCTTCGCTATGTCCAAACTAACGGCCAATGCCTCCCCCTTGGACTCTACTGCCTCCGCCCATCTATGAGTTAAGTAAACTAAAAGATCACCTGCTGATCGACCCCGACGAAAACCGTACTGACGGTCACTGATCAGCTGGTGATCCTCAAGGTACCTCATGAGCTGGCAGTTTATAATGGATTCCATTATTTTGGAGAACAAGGAGGTGATGGCGATAGGCCTGTAGTTGGACGGGTCTGAGCGGTCGCCTTTTTTAGGGATCGGGTGGACCAAAGCTGTCTTCCATGAATTCGGGACTACGCCTTGGGAGTAGGAGTACCGGAAAAGACGCGTTAAAACCGGTGCCAACTCCGGAGCACACGTCTTCAGCACAATGGGAGGGACTCCATCGGGCCCACTCGACTTGCTGACGTCCAGGGAGAAGAGTGCTTTGCGAACCGAGCGCTGTGTAAATCGCACATCCGGCATGGAGCACTCACATCGCGGGATGGTCGGCGGTGTGTTCCCCCCGTCATCTAGAGTCGAGTTGGACGCAAAAAGAGAGCACAACAGATCGGCTTTCTCTTTTGCGGCATGGGCCAGTGAGTCGTCCTCTCTGTGCAGAGATGGGAGGGATGGCTGACAGAAGTTCCCTTGGACAGCCTTGGCGAGAGACCAGAATGCACGGGTTCCCGAAGGAAGGCGAACTAGCTTCTCGCCAATTCTGCCGATGTGCTCAGACCTTGCCTTGGCAATGACGCTT